GACAGGCCTGGGCACCCCCGGCCAATGGGCGCCGCGGAGAGCCGCGTGATCAGAGCCTGGCCGCGGCGTGATCGGGCAGGGCGGGATGCGGCACGTGTTTTGGTAGCGGCGAGGGGGCGGAGCCTGAGGCCCTGGAAAGTAGGGGAAAGGTCCTGGCGGCGGCAGCGGCTCGGCGGCGGCTCCTGCAGCGGCTGCTGCAGCGGGAGCGGTTGGGTGGAGGGACCGTGCAGATGCGGCCGGGGAAGTCCCCAAGTCTACTGGACTGGCTGGGGAGGGGGGCTGCGCTTTAAGGGGCCACCACCCGCTGCTTGCCGGAGTGCAGGTCCCCAGGGAGTGAATCTGTCCAGTAGAGGCGGCTCACCTGGAAGCCTCAACCCTGATTCTGCTTTCTTGTTTAATCTACCATCGCTCTTAGGAGAGCATCCCTGATCTGGAAGACTTTTGAAAGCTGGCTAGCCCCAGGTGACATTCCTGCATCCGCTCCTTCCTCCAGGCACTTAGAGCCCGAGCTTCTCGGCCTGTGTCTGCCGCTGACGGCCCCCTCCAGGCAGCTCTGGGCTGCAGTTTCCCCACAGTTCGGTGGGGATGGAGGGTTAGGGGCAAAACAAGTGACCGCCTGAAAAGCACCTGGTGAAACCTGCCCATTTTTCTAGGCCAGGTGTAAGTGTCACCCTCTCTGGGAAGTCCTCAGGCATGAATGAGAGAGATGTCCAGGGCAACTTACCCCTGCCCCGCAGTACTTTGGCTGCCTGTGTCTCTGGGTGTGGTTTATGCATTTCTGCAGCTCTAAGTTCTTGAAGAGCAGCCTGTGTTTATTTGTACCCCCACAGCCTGCAGCGCGGCTTGGCGCAGCCTTTCATCCACCCATGTGGCCCACATTTGCTGAGCTTAGATATGGGTTGGCATAGAACAAGGTGCAGAGGCCACAGTGAGGAATCCTCGGTCCTGCAAGCTAGGGGCAGGTGAGAGTAGAGGATCCCCGCGCTGTGGGGACTGTGCTCTGAGCAAGAGAACAGGTAAGGAAACAGGCCATGAAAGCACCAGGCCCTCCACGTTCATACTGATAGGGAAGCAGGTGGGGCCCAGGGCTCTGGCCAGCTTCTTCCTCACCAGCCTTCTCTGCTTGGGCAGAGGGAGCGTAAGCTGACCTCCAGCTTCTTTCCATTTCATCTAACTCACATCCTTCCCAGCACCTTTCAAAGCCTATAACTTTTGTTTCGTTAGTTATTTGTTAATTGTCTCCCCACCAGAGGGAACCTTCCCAAGGTTAGAGACCTTGCCTAATTCACTGTGAAACCCCAGTGCCTGGCTCACTGCAGCCACATGGTAACCAGTGGTTGAATAAGTGAATGAAGACCAACTCCTAACTGCCCTCCCCATTTGGACATTCTGCAGACATTTGTAATTCAGTGTCCTTGAAACTGAACTTCCATTCTACCCAACTATGAATTTTCCCCAAACTTCGGGAAGGGTACCACCAGATACCCTTTTCCTTCATCCAGAAATCTAAGAGTCACCTTTGGCCCTTCCCTCCTGCCCTTGCCTCCCTCTGTCAATGACTTAGTGCTCTTTATCTTCCTAAATCTCTCTCAAACTAGTCACTTCTCTCCATCACCCACTCTTGCTCTGGTCCAAGCCACTGTCTTCTCTCACCTGAATTATTTTGCTGCCTCCCAGTGGGTCTGCTTACCTCTAGCTTCATCACCTGCACAGTGCCCCTCAGCTCACTGCCAGAATCATCTTCTAGAAGTAGGGACGGTACCAAACCTGTACTCAAACCCTCAGTTTGGAATCCGAACAGCCACAGACTGAAACTTACTCCTTAGGCAGGAATGCACGGCTCTGCAGAACCAGCCCCTAGCCAGCACTTCTTGCGTCATTCCGACCAGTTCCCCAAATCCCTTTCCCTTCTAACACTGTTGTCCCAGTGCAAAACCCTGTGCCCCCCAACATCATGTCAGAGTCACCATCTTTTGCTTTGTATGTGATGTTTCTTTTGTCTGGAACACCCCAACCCTTCTCCACTTTTACTCTGTAAGACTGCATTGTGACTTCTCAGTAAAGCCCTTCCTGACCCCCAAACAGCAGGACGACTCAGCAGAATGCTTAGTGCAGGTCTTTGGAGTTAGACCTGGATCCAAATC